GGACCGCAGCAGCGGGGACCGCTGGCCGCAGAGGGACGCTGGGGAGCCGAGCCTGATGCAGAACTGAGCCCCATTGGCAAACAGAGACCTCCCGAGGGGCACGGCTGGAGGGAAGGGGGCTTTTCCCAGGGCAGCTGGAGGGGCACGGGTGTTCAGACACGGCAAGGGACTCCGTACCATGGGGTCCTTGGGCTGGGGGAAGTAAATGAAATAGGGCTGCTTCCCCCCGCTGTGCTGCTGCCACTCGTAGAAGCCATCTGCCAGGACCACGCAGCGCTTGCCCTTGAGGAGAGCACCCTGCGGGAGAGAAAACACAGGCAAGCTGTGAGCGACTGCCTCGGGCAGCCCGGGAGGGAGGACGGGGGCTGGTGGGAGCACCCAGCCCGCCCGCTCCCTCCTGGGGGCTCCCCACAGCTGCCCCACGGGGTGCACAAATGCCACCACCCAGTGCTGCGATGGAAGACAAGTGGCACCAGCACCCCCCTTTTCAGTTCTTCTATTTTAGCAAAATCCACTGGCTCTGCAGCGCGGGGGCTCGTTTAGGGAGACCCTCCCCTGCGCAGCAGGCAAACGGCGACCGGGACTCGCCAGGGAGACGCTCCACCCCGGTTTTGGTGACTACGAGATCTCTTCAAGCTGGACACAAAGACGGCAGCAACTCACCTTGTAGGAGGACTTCTTCAGCATGGTATCGCTGCGGCAGTTGGAGGTGTTAAACTGCATTTTGGAGGGGTCGTCCTTTTTGAACCAGGAGGGAACCAGGCCCCAGCGCATGTCCATGAGGACCCGCTCGGAGGAGTCGGCATCCTTTCGAACGAGACAGAGAAACGCCTCGGGGTCAGAGCCACCTCGCAGGGACCTCGAGCATCCCCGCAGCTCGAGAGGGAGGGCTTCACGGAGCCCTGCACAGGCAGCTTCTCCCCCTGCAAGGGGGGAAGAGGCCGGTGCCCCTGCTGACAGCAGAGCTGAATCCTCCAGCACCAAACCGCCCCTGCTCGTTCGCAGGGATGCTGCTCGCCAGCCACGCAGAAATAGCTGCCAACCATAACCCTTTGCATATTCTTAGCGTCTTTCCTGCAAGAACTAGTCTCCAGCAGAAAGCACAGGAATATTTTGCAGGAATAACTAAGGTCTCAGTAAGGCTCAGCCGACAGCTCTCTGGAAGGGTGAATGCAGTTTTCCTTCGACGGGAAGGGCCTGGACACGTGAACTCGCAGCTCCCGTCGGGCAGGTCACATCCCTCTCCCCAGCGAGTGTCCCAAGGGGCGTACGCCTCCTCGCCTTCATTTTAATAACGTGATTTCTGCGGGCCTGGTTCACTTTCACTCCTCACGCTTTGCCTACCACCTGCCTTCGGACGATGGAAACGGCTTGCGGCTTTCGCTTCTCCCCCAGCTCACTCTCGCTCTCTGCCCGCAGCCGGGGACGACGTGGCCCCAGGGACACCGGCTCCCAAAGCACTGTGGTGTGTATATATATACATACACCTACTATAGGTGCACGTACAGGGACACGCACGTGCCCAGCGTTGTGAAGACTCCCAGAGCCTCCCCCAGAGCAGGAGCGGCAAAAAGGGGCACCTTATAGAATCACAGAATGGTTTGGGTTGGAAGGGACCTTAAAGACCATCCAGTTCCAACCCCCCTGCCATGGGCAGGGACACCTTCCACTAGACCAGGTTGCTCCAAGCCTCATCCAGCCTGGCCTTGGACACTTCCAGGGATGGGGCATCCACAGCTGCTCTGGGCAACTTGTCCCAGTGCCTCACCACCCTCTCCAGGAAGAATTTCTTCCTGATGTCTAATCTATCCCACGCCTGTGTCCCAGCAGCTGAACAAACCAAGCAGGTGTCTGCCTGCCGCCTCCATCGTGCTCCCAGTCCCGGATTTCTTGGCTCTGTCGCTGTTCCGGGGGGATGCAGGACCCCAGGGCAGGAAAGGAGGGTACGAGAGATGTCTGACAGCATCGGTCCCACCGAGGCACCTCACCCTGGTGTCGGTAACGGCTGCGGCGTGCGGCGGCCCCTCTCGCTGCCTCACCCGGGG